TTTGTTGATAAGCTGATACATGTAAAAAATACTAAAAATGACATCTTCATAAAATTTAAATAGTTTTAAATTTAAATAGATTTGTTTACCTATTAAAAGTTAACATTTTGAAATGAAACTATTAGCATAATCATGATCTAGCATCACATAATGAAATAGCAATATTGTTTTGAATCTCCTTAACTTAATAGAGGTCTCACACTCTCACTTAAATTTTCGTTGATGGAGATATTACTACTCAAGCCATATAAAATAATAAGGATGTCATTTAATTGAGTTTTAATTGGGAGGGTAAAAAAGATGTCATTTATTTAAAATAACTAATTTTCACACGCGCTTTGCGCGATTAGACGAATGCCCAATGTACATTTTTAAATTAGTGTTCCTTAATTGGTTAAAGTAGTCATATAATAATGAGAGAGTAAATGCTAGTGTCATTATTGAAGACGGTAGGGCCATGTTGGCCAGTTTAGTTAATTGCTCAATTCCTAGGCAGCTTAATGCCATTGCTCATTTTCTCTTGCTGATACTACGGTGACTTTATTTTGAGTCTTTTGCATTAATAATAGTCACCTTTTTGCTTTAAAAAAATAATAATGAGAGAGAAAAATGCTAAAATCTCTTATTTTAATAAAAGATATAGAAATTGGAAATAACTAAAGTAACTAAATTAATTCTTCTTAGTGCATTTTCGCTTTCACTGAGGGTCGGAATTATCTTCATCTCTGGTTCGGAATTGTCTTCATCTCTGGTTGTGTCTTTACTACATCTTATTTACTGGTAGTTAATTAGAATGATGCGTGCAATGATCATTTAGACAAATGAACAATGTGTATTTTTAAATTAGTGTTCCTTAATTGGTTAAAGCATTTATATAATAATCCGAGAGAGAAAAATGCTAAATTAATAAAAGATAAAAGAATTTTATGTCTTCCTTCACTTGAATTCTATTGTGCTTGATCTTAGGGTGATGAGAAAAGGGGATCGGATAAAGAAAAACAAAAGTCAACTGTATTAGTTGATGGATTATAGATTCTAATGTTTTTATGTAGAAAGATTCTGCATGCATCATGCATATATGCCAGGCAGGCCAGCTGCTTAATTATTATCATATCTAACATGTGGCTTGGTTGGAGGTGGTCAATAATAGCAGCTCAATTACTAGGAAAAACTGATAATGATATCAAGAACTATTGGAACACCAAACTGAAGAAGAAGCTCATGGCAATGATGCTCCTTCCTCTTCTTCTGCTTTTTCTTCCAAACACGGATCAGTCATATCATCATCCATGTCGCCACTGTTTTCTGCCGCCCTAATTGCACCTTCTGTTCTTCTTCCCACACCACCTCAACAACAATCCTCGTTTTACACCCCACACAAAGTCATTTTCTGGGCTTGAATCTCCCTCCCTCCACCACCCAGATTTCGGGCATGATCACTGTAACAAGTCTCTCTATTCTTCTTTCAACTTCCAAATGAGCCATCAAGACCAGCAGGCCTTGCTGAACCCCCTGCACTAATGCAGCAATATCATCACACCACCCAGCAGCTATGAATAAGGGTAATCATAATTTGCTGATGTTTGGGGGAAGTGAGGTCAGTGGATCCTCATCATCTGATTGGAGTTGCAGCCAAATCAGTTATGAGAGATAAAAAATTGCAGACCATGTCAAGCAAGAACCTGCAGATCATCAACTCCTGGAAAAATACAGTTTCCAAGGCGATCCTCATCATTAGATCATTTCCCCAACCAATGCTGGATTCGAAGATGAAAACCAGATTCAAGGCAACTTAGCATTTTAAATAATTGAAATTTCAAGAAATTTAACATATGGAACAAGATCAAAAGCTTAAGAGGCATTACCCTTCTTTAAATCTGTTGTCCAGCATGTGAACTGAAAAACTCCATGATCTCCTTCACTTCCAAGCCACCTACATCATGAACGTTTCAGTATTCCTCTTACCTAACATTAATTACCCATTTCGTTTAAAGTAAATCATCTATCAACCTTTCCCAAAGCATTGGATTGAACACATACGCCCCTGAGGCCCTGAGTTCCCTGACTATCTGGATTTAATTTGAATAGCTCATTCAAAGCTAAATTCGCCATTTTAATATCACAATGCAGTCTGCAAAACTAAGCAAAGGTGCAAAACATAGAATTTGCCAATAGTATAAGTAACCTAAGCAAACATAACTGGCAAGCAACTTCAGAAATTTCAGTAGATTTCACCAATTTCAGTATATTTTGTTTGGGTACTACGCTGCCAATAACATGTAAATATACCACCTTTCATATGTAATAATTAATAAATAATAGAGAGAGAGAGAAAAAAAAAACACACACACACACACACATTTTAGCAAGTCAGTTGCTACATATATTTAATAAACAGTGTGAATGCTCTTTTGAAGTAATATGCTATTTTATAATTGTTGAATCCTTGACCAGACATATCAATATTAAGTTTGCCTTCTTTATATACAGAAAATTCATCAAATGAGAGCAGTAACTTAGCATCTAGTATCTGAAAATCTATAGAAGTTTGATCACGGTTTTTAAACCGATTTTCCTTCGTGACGGTTAATGTGCATTAAAAGTGAAATATCACTATAGGGACTATTACTGGAATCAGTTCAAGAAGAAAGTAATTTGTTAAATTAAATCAAAATTTGTCACCGCACAACTCAACTTCAAATAAGCTAGCTAAAATAATACTTTATGGCACTTTGAACAATACCTCAAACTTTTGGAATTGCATTAGTGTAGGGAAAATCCATTTCCGTCTTCTCCCTTCACTGCACGGAAAATTAAGGTACAAATGTACAATTAGGAACTTGAACCAGGCAACAACATAGAGACACATATACCATCATGATTCATTTTGGCAAATGTTTGGCATACCAAGAATGCTTTTGTATAATGCAGTCAATGATTACAAATATAAATATATATATATATATGTATATATATATATATATATATATATATATATATATATATATATATATATATATATATATATATATATATATAAGAGTTTATATCATATGTTATATGCACACAAGGGACAATAAAAAGTCTCATCGATCACTTTAAAGGGGATAAATACAAAGGGTCTAAACTGATTGAGTAACGAGGAGTATCAGTTTAAAGAGGTTCTGGAACATAGCAAAATGCTATTCAGATTAGTAAGTTGTTTAGCCAATCTCACGTGAGCAAACAAGGCCTTTGCAATTATAACCAGCATGGATGCAAAGAGGAGGATATTGATCTTAGATTGTAACTCGAAAAAAAAAATGCACTTCTAGGAGCAGGGCCATATCACCACTCACGAAAATCAGTATTAGCATCGCACTCACCAAGGTGCATTTACATCACCACACTGCAACCTTGCTATGTCAGCACTCCATATCTTTAGGGTAAGGTCATCAGCAAGCCAATGAAATCACTGAACAATACAATATGATACTCTTTAAAAATCCAATACACCACCCACACCCTCTAAAAGAAGAAAAATTCTCAAATAGATGTAATTCAATCTCTGCATAATTGTACATAATTGCATACCAGACGCAAAGAGACCAAATCGGCTTTCCTTTAACTTTAGCTTTGATTCTCCTCACCAAGTAGTCGCGCACGGCTATGCTTCTCCGAATGCTGCCTTGTGTGATTCTCCTCTCTAGTCACGGACGGTCGTGCTTCTCCGAACTGTTGCCCTAATTTGTTTCTTCTCCGCTGGACTCTCTTAATCGCGGTCAGTGTGCTTCTCGTAATTGCCATTCAATTTCACGTAAACTTCAGATTTGCCACCGCGCAACTTCCTTTGACAGAGCCGTTAAATTTAACCGTGTAAGTTTGATAAAATTAAGAAGAATGAGGTTATATTAGGATTTTAAATTGACATTGTACAATTAGAAAAGCGCAAAGTATAATTTTTTAGAGCATTGTTGTACCGACATTTTTTTAGTTCCCGTTAAGGGTCTAACAATATTCGCTCTTATTAAAATTGTAGATGTAGAAAATTATAGATAATGATAAAGATAGAAAAAAGAAACTAAGAAACTACTAACTTATTTTTGAACATTATATAAGGTAGCATTTCAAAATAAGTTTTGGACTCTACGCTCCTAAATAAGCTCTGCAAAACAAAATCATAAAGAAAGAGAAAAGAATTGTAAAATATCTATAATTATGGTACGGTTTGTTAGGAATTTGATTTTCATGTATAATAACTAGCATTTAATGCTAGTAATCTTCATATAGGAAGAAAGAATGAGAAAGGAATTGTAAAATGTTTGAGACTCCCCCTCAAACTCTTATTTTTATTTTTCTTAAAAATTACGTGTTTAATTAAATTTGCACGCGTTTCTATACCATAGAAAATAACAGCACACCAACCGACCCAAAAGTTCAGTTGCCCACTCCCTTTTATGAATTTGTGTGGGTATTTCGTGCTTATCCTACTTTTTTTCTTTAAAAAAAAATAATATTAAACTAATTCGAAGGGATGTTGGTTGCAGATACATCCTGGATTTTACTCTTTTTTCTTCGTTCAACCTAACCTTATCTTCTTGTAGGCTGTAGCTTAATTCAATGTCTAATTGATCCCCTTTTAATTTTAAAATACAAGGGAATCAATAAAATAATTTACAAATAATAAAATATTCTTCTCCATGATTGCATGCATATCATTAATTATTTCAAAGGTGAATGAATGAATAATCCTCTTTTAATTAAAAAGTATTTATCGAAAAACATCTTTTAATAAAAAATTTGCGCGAATAATGAAATAGTGAATTCACAAATAATAGATTTCTTCATATATATATATTCATCAAAAGGACATAAAACGATGAATAGAAATATAGAATACCCATACTTCATACAGGAAAGCGTCTCAAAAATAAAATAAAAAAGTGCAACTCCAAGAAGTACGATAAATGGTAATACGGAATGAGTATAGGGGAAGAAAAAATTATTGGAATTATTTAATATTTTTTTTGATTTTGTGTGATTAGCTGATGCGGCGGCACAGGGTAATCCCATCGCCTACAGGGAGCATGCAGATCTCGATCCTGGGATCAACGGCCAAGGCTTTGTTAAGCTCCAACACGAAATCCCTGTAGTACTTGATGTACTTCCTCATGGGAGCATCGGGTGGGGCCACCACGGAACCGTTCCACAGAGTGTTGTCGTAGCCGATCACACCCCCAACCTTAACCAGATCAATCAACCTCTTGTGGTAGTTGAGGTAGTTGTCCTTGTCAGCATCCACAAATATGAAGTCGTATGTGCCATGCTTCTTTGGCTGTAAAAGTAAAACCCATATTATATTATATTTTGACTTTCAATATTCATTCTATTATCATATTTAGTGTTGTAAAAATTGCACCTAGGCACCGATTGATCGGCGCCAAGCCACTTAGGCGGTCGGCCTCCTAAGCACCCGCCTAGACGCTTTAAGCGCCCTAGGCAATTCCTAGGCACCTAGCGATTTTTTCAACATTGATCAGATTATTATTACTTAACAATAATTTCCTTAAATTTGATAATATTAATGTAATTGATGTCGGAATCAAGGTTGGTGAGACTGTGACATACATCTTCAACGAGTTGATCAAGAATGGGCAATGCTGGACCTTCTCTGAAGTCAATTTTGTGGGCAACTCCTGCCTTTTCTATCACCGGCAGACCCAATTCATAGTTTTCTCTGTTGATGTCCATTGCCAATATCTGCAAAGTTCATTCACTTGTTATCATAATATATATTTTTCTCTAATCAATAATATAATAATTCTGATACTAAATATGTGCAAAGCTATTTATCGTTTTTTTTTCTTTTATGGTAATGATTTAACTTCGAGTTACAACATAACGTAAAAAATTATATTTTTTTCTCAAAAAATATATTCCAAAGTCGTGACTCAACTAACACTAGTTTTTTTTTTTTTGGTTTTTTTTTTTTTAGCAGGTATGAGGGAAAGGAAGGAATTAGCTGTTTCACCTAAAGCTGACGTCTGAGGAGGTGCATCTTGCGTTACGTTTCAGAAATTGCATATTTATTATTATCTTTATTTTAATTAATTACACCAAAAATCGGTAGACCAAATTCATTAAAAAAATCAGATAATAATTAATAAATAAGGAATGATTTTTGTAAAAGATTGTAACATTATTATTCCATATATATGCATCAATCTTACTAAAAATCCCATGCCATTAATTTCTATACATATAAAGTTGATTTTTTTTTTATCGCGATTTATTTGTTTAATTACTATAAAAAATATGTCTAAATATTCATCACTCTTACTAAAAATCCCATGCCATTAATTTCTTCCTCCCGACATATACCGTTGGTACAGCTTGAAACTAACGTATATAACATTAATTTGGAAATTAATTAATTAATTTGCATAATAATTGGGATTAATTAAGAAATGATTACCGTACCTTTCCGTCATCAGGAAGGGCAAGAGCGGTGGCTAGGAGAGAGTAACCGGTGTAAACGCCGATCTCCATGGTGTTCTTGGCATTGATCAACTTGAGAAGCATGCTCAAGAACTGCCCTTCATCGGCCGAGGTTGTCATAAGATTCCTGTGTTCATTTCATCAATTCGATCTTAACATCAGATCAGATCCGATCCAACTACATATATATGTTCCTCGTATGTATATATATATCCGAATTAACTAATAACTCACCAGGGATGCTTAGCAGTGACTTCTCTAAGCTCCTTCATGGCTTCTGGTTCTCTGGGGTACACGCTAGTTTCAAGAATATACTGCAAAATTAAAGTAGAATAATATGAAAAGGCCGAAAATAATATTTCTGCAAATACTTTTAATTTAAATGAAATATATATAATAATAATAATGCAATTAATTAAATTAAAGAGTGTATATAATAATATAAGTACCTGATAAAGAGCATCACTTTGCAAGAGGCTTTTGTGGCCAACTTCCTGGTGTCTGGTCGTCTGGTTCTCCGCCATGGCTTTGAATTTTCCGGCGAGGCTTCCTTTCACACTCGTTTCCGGCCTGAGTTTTTTCTAAGCACTCTTCGTAGTCTTGTGGGTGCCTGAGTTTTGGATAAAAACTTGTAGGGGTATATATGCATGGAGGCATCCGGTTCGGACCGGGGTTTAATCGATGTTTGGTGGGGTTAGACCGCCCTAACCCGGTCCGGGGTTGGTGAGATTCCACGTCTGACTTAGTGGTGGGACCCTTATGAAGTCGTTGAGGTGGGCCATCTTTTGGCGACCATGGACAGTGGCAAGTGACGGAAAGTGACGTAACGATGAACATCATCTACGGATGCAAGATGGCGGAGATTTGTTGGCGATGGACACGTGGCATAATATAACTAATGAGGGTGGATAAGCCGCTATGCCGTGGCTGCCTGGCTGGTGCCCGGAGAGACATGGGTTTGGTAAAATGCTGTTGAAACGATTTTTTTTTTTTAATACATTAAACAATATCTATCTATTAAATTTTAATTTAATATTTTGGAGAGGGTTGGTGAAGACCATGACCCAACACGTCGTAATAATTTAAATTAAACAATTAATAGAAAATAAAAGGTTATGTCAATGCATTTGCACCACAAATAGTTTAATAATTAATACTCCGTATAATGTAGCTATTTTGTTTTTATATATAATAATAAAAAAGGAAATGCATAATTGGGGATGCATAATTGTCGTGTGGATTGGGAATGGGGATGTCTCGATGGCAAATTACACGGTCCACACAGTGAAAAACAGTTCAAAATAGCGTAATTAAATTTTATGAGTTAGAATAATATGCATTATGAGTTAGAATAATATATTTTGTGTTAAAATAATGTACATTATGTATTAAACTAATATATTTTATGTGTTAGAATAATATACATATGTGTTAGAATAATAAAACTTTTGTAGTAAGATAATGTACTTTATAAATTAAAATAATGTACGTTATAATTTATAAAAATGTATGTTGCAGTAGGTCACATGAATAAAAAAATTACATAAAATGACATCATTTTTAAACGGTAGTACTACGGTCCACGTAATAACTATTGGCAAATTATGCCCTGGACCCGTGTCCACATTGAATTATGGACACGGGCCCAAAACGACGTCGTTTTTAAAAAAAAACGCGTCATTTAGTTAAAAAAAAAAAAAATTCGCGCGCGTTTTGCCGTTAACGGCGTTATTTTTTTTTTTGGATTATGAATATACAGTTATGCCGTTATGAATGTACAGTTATGCCGTTATGAATATACAGTTATGCAATTATGAAATTATGAACACAGAGCTCTAACATTATGAACTTACAATTATGAACATATATAGTGATAAAATTATGACCATGGAGCTTTAAAATTGTGAATATAGAGCTTCGAAGATTATGAATGTACAGTTATGGAGTTATGAATGTACAGTTATAGAGTTATGAATCTACAGTTATGGAGTTATGAATCTACAGTTATGAGATTATGAATCTACAGTATGGAATTATGAATGTACAGTTATTGATCAAATTATGAACAAAGAGCTCTAACATTATGAACTTACAATTATGAACATATAGTGATAAAATTATGAACATAGAGCTCTAAAATTGTGAACATAGAGCTTCGAAAATTATGAATGTACAGTTATGGAGTTATGAATGTACAGTTATGGAGTTATGAATGTACAGTTATAGAGTTATGAACGTACAATTATGGAGTTATGAATGTATAGTTATTAACATATAGTAATAAAATTATGAACATATACTCTTACAATGAAGCGGTCTGAAATTTAAAAAAAAAAAAAAGGAGATAACAGTGCTTAACGGCACTGTTACCCGTGTCCAACAAGCATGCTGGACATGGGTCCAACGCATAACGATTGATAACTATTGCTCTATTATGGATGTATTGTGCTCAAGGGGCTGACATATTAAAAATGGACGACTTATTTAAGAAACATAATACTGCGCATTTGGTACTATTTTTTTTATATAAGTGTGGGAGTATAAAAAAAACTTTAATATATAAAGTTATCATATATCTATAGAACTAAAGTTAAAATTCAATATGTAAGTTAAAAAAAAAAAACAAATGTTAAATAACGTATGTTCCGTTTGAAAATTCAGAAAATGACTTCATTTTCAATTTTCATGTCTTTGAGTATTCAAGAAAAATATTTATTCCAGTTATCAGAAACAAAATTCAATTTGACGAAAATATCTTCTTATATTTTTATTTAGTCAGAAGAAATTTGTCAGATTCTTTATTTTCTCATATTTATTTTCTCTTTCATATCATTTATAGTTTCGGAATTATTATAACCACCACCAAATTAACCACCATCACCACCAACACCACCACGCCACACAACACCATCACTACCAAAACTAGTAAATGTATCCAATGATTTTAAAAATCACACTCAAGAACATGTAGATCTATTGATATTTAAAAGTGCAACGGAAGGACTAATGCACGTAGTTTTGTATGCATTATGGTTCAATAATTTTAGAGTTCGTGCATATTTTGAGTTACATTTCTATACATCATTTGATATATACTTTATAGTTTTGCGTAGTGTACTTTTTCGTTCGCTCCCGGATGCTTTTTCCAATGTTGCCACTTGAACGCACTTATGTATGACCGTTTCAAGTATTAATTAAGTCCTAGACTAGAACCTAATCCGTCATTGTCTAAGGCGGATTCTAATAATATATATATGCATGTCCTAATGTGAAGTAAAACTCATGCATGTTATATATTCTGATTTTATTTATGAAATAAAATTTAAAAAAAAAATTAAAATTATGGCTCATAGTTTTTTTTTATAAAATAATCAGAGTATGCCAAGTAAGTAAACATTTTTCACAAAATAGAATAAAAATAAAGTAGTTGTAATATTAGTCATTCTTTTATTCGGTACTACCTTAGGACTTGACAATGGCCTTTCACGACACATTTAATGCCAACAACCAATGCAATATTTGAATCCACAACTTCATTCCGATAAATATATTAATATAAATATCTCTGATTTTTTACTTTTTATTTTTTGTTTTGAGTGGAGGGGTGCGCTGGACCAGACAAATTATTGTTGAAATTTTTTAGAAAAATAACATTGTAAGTGTCTTTTTTTTTTTTTTTGGTAGAATTTTTTTTTTAAGTGTCTATATTTTGTTATACAAATATTTATGAGATTTACTTTTAATTTGTGTCGAGTCAAAATGAATTCGAATTTTCTTGAGTGAGACAAAGAAATTGATATATTATATGCTAAAAACATATAATAGGTGAATGAAAAATTAATTCTCATAATAAACACATTTGAGATTAAAAAATAGAGAAGTCATATAGTGCTTGTTAAGCACCTCTCGGAGTCTCGATGATACTTTATTGTTAAGCACCTCTAGTTGCTTTTGGTGTTAAGCACCTTCTATAGTGCTTTGTAGTTTACCGTCTTCCGGTGCTTTATTATTTTAGCACCTTATGGTGCCTTGTTATTTTAAGCACCCTTCGGTGCTTTAACTCTTTTAAGGTAATCATAGTTCGGTGTTTTTTCGAACGATACAAACTTTTCGGCTACGAACGTCTCAGTATGTATATTTCAAGTTTCAGCTTCTGGTGTATCATTTTGAAACGAGCTAATTTTGATCTGTATGAATTAATTTTGAATTAACTTGAATTTATTTTTTAAGAATTAACGTACGTACCCGCTGTGTTAATTCCAGTTCAATGGACTATTATTATAGAGGTTACAATATAATTTTAAATCAGATGTTAATGTAATTTTCCTTGTATGGAGTTTCCTTAGGCATTATGCTCATTGATTTTAGGAGGTTTATCCAATAAGTTTTATCGTTTTTGTCAAGAACTTTTGTCGCCTCTCTTATATTTTCGGCTGGGATTTTCTATCGTTGGTTGTGTGCTTTCGTCATACATTCAAGTTTTTTTTTTTTTTTTTTTTTTTTTTTTTTTTTTTTTTTTTTTTTTTTTTTTGCGATTTGTTGGAGTATACTTTGATTAGGTTTGTTGATGAATCTGTGATTTTAAGGATGATGTGCATCGTGGATCATTGAGATGTGCATTAATGCGGTAAGTATGGTGCAACGTAAGGCTTTGGGTTGTGCAGTGGTTAGAGGGTGTTATGTATGCGTTTGGAGATTTTTCTTTTTTTGTCAGGGGTGATGCATCGTAGGTTGTGATGATGTGAATTAGGCCGCTTAGTGCAGTGCATGATAGGACGTTGCGATGTGCATTGGTTGGAGGGTGTCGGTTGCACCGCATGATCAATTTTGTGGGGTTTAGTGATTTAGGGTTTAGAGGTTTAAGGTGTGAATTTACAAAATGTTGTACACCCTTGTGCACGCCCAAAGCTACAGTTGTGCATTTCTAGCGGTAAAGGTGTATATTATGTGGGGCATTGTTGTGCATGCTATGTTAGTCTAAGTGAGTTATGTGTTCATGTTATGTTTCCAAAAGCTTCGCGAAATGGATGCACCATCAGTGAGTTATCAATGCAGTACATTCGGTATAGAAATGCACGGTCAAAACAATATGAAAGCACGACGAATATTGTATGAATGCACATGGTTGATACTCATATTATAATGATTGGAGTAAATACCCAAAATGGTCCCTCGACTATAGCTAAATTCACAATTTGGTCCTCGACTTTCAATTTCAACCAATTAAGTCCTTAACTTTGTAATTTTAACACAATTTAGTCCCCTGTCTATTTGACCGTTTGTTGACTGTGATTTTTGAGGATATATATGTAATTTCATGGTCCATCGTCTATTTTTTAAGGTTCCGGTTGCATTTCCAGACCGCACTGTTACATTTGAATACACTGCCGAAAGCAATCTACCAAATCCGGTCGCCTTTCTTCATCCCCCTTTGGATTCAATGTAGTTGAGTTCGTACCAGAGCGAAGAAGACGACGTGTTTCTGAACCAGTGCAACGTCATCCTGGAGGCCTCCACGTGCTTCGACGAAAGCTGAAGGTTCTTCTGGAGATCGTTGATCACGGTCAACAAAAGGTCAAATAGATGGAGGACCAAATCGTGTCAAAATGACAAAGTTAAGGACTTAATTGGTTGAAATTGAAAGTCGATGACCAATTTGTGAATTTAGCTATAGTCGAGGGACCATTTTGGATATTTACTCTAATGATTGCATAGGCGATTTGTTCGCTGGCGCCCATGAGGATGTCGATATAGTGGCTGGAGTAGTTGGAGAGTCCAAAATTGGTATAGAACACTGAGAAGCTTAGTGTTGATTTTATGACTTTTGGGTAGTCAACGGCTGGCCAACATCACTGTTAAAATAATGAGTGTATGGGAAAAAATATAGAGAAAAATACATGGAGAGAATTTAGAGAATAAATATTTTGTGTTATTGAGAATTGCTTGTGAATAGTGTAAATTGCCCCCCCCCCCCCCCCCCCCCCGCCTCCCATGTATGAGGTCTATTTATATATATTTTGGGCATATAGCCGTACAAAGAATAAGAATCCTAAACTACCTTATATTGGGAGTCCTTATTACACTCTTAAGTTGCCCCATTTTGTGTATCCTTATTAGATTTTCTTGATCAAGTTACTTTCTTGGACCGATCCATATGGCCCAAACCCCAGTATACGAGTTGTTATATCGTGGACCGCGGTGCATAATTCATTATGCACCGCGCGTCAAAACGGTGCCGTTTCTGCAATTATAACGGAGTGACACTACAATATGTCTAAACCGACACTGTCTCACATATTATTTTTATATTATCAAATGAAACTGCAGTTATATCAAAATGATACTGTAGTTGTGGTGAAATAAAATTACAGTATATATAAAATGAAATTGAATAACATTTCACATATTTGAGTGTATGTTGTACAATGAAGCTGTAATTATATTGAAATGATCATGTAGTTGTGTTTTAATGAAACTATAGTGTATATAAAATAAAATTAAATAACATTTTCACATATTTGAGTGTACAAATATTGAATGAAACTGTAGTTATATCGAAATGAAATTGTAGTTGTGTTGAACTGAAACTGCAGTATATACAAAATGAAATTGAAGAACAGAGTTATATTTTGCGAAAATTTTGTTTTTTTTTCATTAAATAAAACGACGTCGTTTTGATGCGCGGTGCATAATCGATTATGCACCACGGTGCACGATATAATTTGCCCCAGTATACCATCCATCACTTAGAGATACTATTTGCTTTTGAAAATGATAGTGGGAGATATTTACAGGGCGTTTGGTTGGAAGAGGGGGAATTACGTGGGAAAGGAATTGCAATTCCATGGGAGATGAGTTACTGGGAATAAAGTGGGAATTTAAATTCCAGTGTTTGGTTTACGGGAATAGAATTACTGGGAATTTTAATTTCAATGTTTGGTATACATGGGAATTGAAAGGGAATAAGTAGTATAAAATCCAAAATGTCAATTATTGTTGTGGTATTAATTTTAGGTTAAAAAAATGATGGATAATTTTGACTCATCACTAGCATTTTTTCTTCCTAAAATCCCAGGAATTAAAATACCAGGGGGACATGGGATTTTAATTCCATGAAAATGGGGGAATTGCAATTTCATGGAATTGCAATTCCTTCCAACCAAACTAAGGAATTTTATGGCCTTTGGAATTAAGTGGGAATTAAGTGGGAAGGGAATTTAAACTCCCTCCAACCAAATGCCCTGTTACGGTATTTTAATTTGTCCGAATTGATGTTATCATGATGACTAAATTGCATTTCGGAATAGTTTTCCTTATTAATTCGTGCCTTAATTAGCACTAATTAATATATTAGGATGATTTGATCACAACCATAGTCCAGATTAGACCACAGTTCTCACATGAGACATGTTTCTCATGGGAGGCAAACCACCAACACCACCATAATAATAATAATAATAATAATAATAATAATAATAATAATAATAATTATTATTATTATTATTATTATTATTATTATTATTATTATTATAATTTTAACTTTTAAGTCATTCAGTCAAACATTAAAAAATTAAATTATTCAAAAAACATTTTCCAAGTTTTCGCTGTAAAATTTTATTAACTAATTATTAAAAATTTCATTAATTACTTGTAAATGAACTAATCCCATAAAATCTATCTATAAAATAATTAAATACGAAAGAAATCCACAATAACATTGCATACAAATATCGTTCTCTAGCATATACATATTGTTCTCAAAATGATTTTTCTACCAGGCAGGCTAAAAGTTGCGAGAATTTCCGGCTGAGCAATCCAAAACTGTACTTAGTCTTAGCAATTATTCGAGGGCAGAGAAACATAGACAACTCTAAATTAAAGTGTTTCCTTTTTTTCATATGACAGACATTATTGTATAATCTTCTGTACCTTATTAATACTAAGAATGTTGCAGTCTCACAGAATTACTGCTAATTGCTCTTCATTTCCCTGTCCAATAACAAAAACCAAACATGACAGCAGTACATTGCTGCTCAATTTAAGATTAGCCTTCATCAAACCAATAACACAAGAATGCCAATACATGAGTTTATCCAACAGACAGCAACACTATAAGATCGTATGATTCATACCAATAACAGAAGAAAGCGCAGTTGTTTCCATCCGATGAGCAACACCGTACAATCATCTTCACTTCTGTAACATGAGGTTTGAACCCATGACCTTTGGTCTAACTTTGATACCAAATTGAAGCATGTGCTCTATTTCAACTAAAAGCTTAAGCTGATAGTTGGATTGCACATTAATGACTATATGCTCAACAATCGTAATTAACAAATTAAATAAATCAGCAAAATAGGATACACATTGCAGTAGAATTCCAAGAAAACAAATTGCAGTAACGAACTAGAGTTAGAACAATGAGTACAACTTGCAAACATGGAAATAAAATTTATATCTCAATTCTGTACTGGGTATGTATGTATAATTGCAATTCCCACTACTATGAAGTATGAAGATAACTACCACATCAGATCAGAGTGGCTCTAGTATCATATTCAGATAGATGTTAATGTGAAAACTAGGAACTATGGTCATGAATGTAAAATCCAGAAAAAAAGATGAATAATATCAGCTCCCCTAAGTGAATTGAAACAAAGAAATGCTTGCAGGATAGTCTAAAATGGCTCAAAATTGTTGAATGTATCCTTTTCTCACTCCATTTCATTGCGGCCTCGACTAAGTTTTGTGGCCAATGCAGCTCTTATAGCAGATGCCAATGCCATATTCTGGGGAGAACTCTCTTCAGGAAACTGAGAGGTCTGACAATACTGCAAAGAATGCTCGTCGATAAAAGCTGAGAAATCCTCCCTCATAAGTAGCATATTATGCAAAATTGAGCAAGCCCCAATATATGCAACTGCAATCTTATCCTCTGCCTCAATTGAGCTGTTCAAGACACCCCAGTTCCTCAAGCTTGCAATGGCTTTAATGGCTGATAAGAGCGTAATACGATGGGCATTGTTGAAATTCCCTTCATTCGAGCCGGGCACACTGCAAGGGAAAGGTAGCATTAGCCATGGGAGTAAAGGGTAGGATCCTTCACCGGCGAAGTACTGGGGAACAGCCACTCCATTTATATACATCGGCTGGGAATTCAATAATCCCCCGTTTTCTATATCTTTGTATAAAGTTGAAGACTTTAGGATCTGGGAATCCCCCTTTTGGCCGCGAAATCCCGCTATGATACTTAGAATTCTCGAGGATGAGTCCACAACGATTTGAGCTGCTATGGTGTCTTCTTCATCTTCTTCTTCTTCGGGGTTTTCCTGAGGAACTGAGATGGAGTGGTTGTTTCTTCTGATCTTGAACCTGGCGCATTGGATAACTCCGCAGCAATTGGGCATTCCGGTGAGGGTTTCGAACTGAGTTGACACGGACTGGAGCTCGTTCGGGCTGGGGAACCCGACCCAGAATCGGAAATTGGTGCAGAGCACCCGGCAGAGCTGTTTGACGCAGAATTTGGATGCGGAGACGGAGACCCGGAATTGGTTAGAGATTTCCCGGAAATCCGCGCCGCTGGCGAGGCGGAAGAGCCCGATTCCGAGCCTGGTCTCGGCGTCGAGGTTGAGAGGTGAGTCAACTGGGTCGCGGCACTCCAGCAGCGGCTCTAAGAGCCCACACAGCCACTCGAAGGTGGAGGAATTCATATTAAAGAAGTGCTTAAACGAGTCCGGGTTCCGGCGCTTCACCGATTCCACCCGGACGAGTTGACACAGCGTTGATTCCGGGTCGGGCTCCGACAAACGGGCACGCTTGCGTTTCTTGGAAAGAGAATGGAGGGAGAGGGTGGAGGCAATTTCAGAGGTGGAGAGAAAATGGAGGAGGAGAGGGAGAACGACGTCGTGTTGATCGGAAACTGGAACTCCACCGTTTGCGATGCAATCCGTGATGGAAAGAGGGTTAGAAGAAGGAGGGAAAAGGAGGAGGAGGAGAGAGAGGATTTCAGCGACCAATGAAGAAATCAGCGCCGCCAAACGCCGCCGCCGCCGCCGCTGCTGAGAATCCATAGGTTCTCTCTGTCTGTCAATGTCTTTCCTCGATTTCTGTACAAATCAGATGTGTCTGACACACCAAGCCTGCCTGCATCGCTATTCGAAGGTTCTATAAAATCACGTGACGCTACTAAATGTTATGTTGCCATATGATTAGAATTGTACCAAAAAACCACACCGCCGGTAAGTTTAAATATAATATTTTCTTTTCATAGAATTTAATAATTTATAAAATGTCAAATAGTAAAAATAATACTCCCGTTACTCCGTAAGAAATAGAATCTATTTTATAAGCAAAAATTAAGTGGTGTATTCCATCAAGATTTATAATTTTTTTTATACATTTTAAATATTTTAAAAGTCTGATTGTATTCTATTCAGATTAATAAAGAGTCTGATATATTTTTTCCTTACAATTATAAATAGTTGAAATTCAATCTATCAATCCCAAACTTAATTAAATTCTATCAAAATATTACAACTCTGTATAATCCCTATGTTTTGGTAAAATAGTTAACCCAATTAAAACTTAATTAAAAGAAAATGTTTGATTTACAACATTTGAGACAAATTAAATTTGCATCTATATAATAACCAATTTGGTTGATATGAGTAGTCGTGCTCTCTTTCGTATGAAAAAATCAATATGACCAGCATTTTCTTCAATTAATTAAAAGAATTAAACTCCTAACGTCTTAATCTAATGTATGACTATATATTTATGTAAATTATTTTCAAACATGATATATTTTATAATTACATACATTATGTTCCATAATTATATATTTGTATGATTATTCATGAGCATGTAACTAAATTTTGTATAGATATTTAATTAAATAGCATGATATATATATATATATATATATATATATATATATATATATATAACATATAAATTAAATTATATAATTAAATTACTCACATTTTTACATGATTTAATTATATGATTAATTATATCTTTATATAAATATTAATATAATTATATATTTAGCATAAAGTATGCCGATTATATAGAATACTAGTTACTATGTCTTTGTGATACTATTTTATAACTTTTAAATCAATTTTAATCGCATATCTTACTCTTTTTTTTTTTTTTATCAATAATTCCTATGTTTTGAATGATTATTTAATTTCATATTGAATAGTCTCGAGTAATTTTCTATAAATACGTATAATTATATAGTTAGCATAAAATATATTCATTATATAAAATTTATATTTTATGACTTTATAAATTACTAATTTAATAAGGAGTTTAATCAATATAATATCCATTTATATATCTACTTGTATACACATGTTTTTATTCTAAAAACACAAGTTGCTTAGTTTGAGAAAAGCTTAGATGTTATATGTGAGATTAAAGTTTCAATTTTTATATTATTAAAAATAATATATAAATATTATAATAATATAAAAATATATTTTAAAAAATAAGTGGGATAGCCCGTTTAACTTGCCAACTTTCTAGTATACGAGTTGGGTTCATGTTCCCAACTTGGATGAGCCAGCCTATATGGGGTGGGCTGCCCTGTTTCGACATCTATATCGATATGTTCCTATTTTCTTACACATTTTAGAAGGAAAGTGTCAAATTAATATCATAAAACAAACAAATATTGCAATTGCATGACTAACTGGAAATAACTTCAATGAGGTACCTTAAACTTGTAAAATATTGCAATTGAGTTATAATTTTAGTTTTTTTTTTGGGGAAAATGGCACTTTTTCCCCCTAAGTTATATACATATAGCACTTTTTCCCCCTGAATTATTTAAGTGGCTCATTTTCCCCCTGAAATGTTAAATGGACATATTTACCCTTAAAATAAATATTTTATTTATTTTTATTCTCCAACAAATTATTACTATAATTTTGTTCAAACCAAACAGATACTATAGCAACCAAACAAAAATATTCCAATTACAATTTATAATCAAAACGCGATATTTAGAGTTTATTAAAATCGCGAACTGGAATGGCCGGTTCATGTTTTGAACTGAAAAAATAAAATACATTTATTGTTGAATTTAGACTATTTTAAAATAAAAAATAAAATTTTAAAATAAAGACGGTTCAAAATCGCGAACTGGATCCGGAACCGCCGGTTCACGGTTCATGATCCAATTTTTTTTATTCTTAAATTTAATAAATTGAAATTCAAATATTGAGTTCTAAATCTGAATCATAACTGAAAACTTTTAATTCGATTGCTATAGTGTCTGTTCAATTCGAACCGAACCGTGGTAATCGTTACATATACGCAATAATTTGTTGGAGAAGTAAAATAAATAAAATGTTTACTTTAAGGGTAGAAATGTCAATTTAATATATTAGGAGAAAAAACTACCACTTTTAAAATAATTGAGGGGGCTAATGTGCTTACATAAATAATTAAGGGGGGAAAAGTGCTATAAGTATATAACTTAGGGGGAAAAAGTGTCATTTTCTCTTTTTTTTTTTTTTGAATGCTACTGACTCTGTTACAATGTAGTATCTGTTCATAGCTACTTTCTCAACTTACTGAAGCACAAAGAGCCAATAACGCCTCCGTTGAGGCTTGAACTCACAACCTCCCATATGCGAGGGAGAAGAAATGGAAAAGAAAAGGGTAAAAACTTTTGATTTTACATTCTTGTTCTCAGATTTAACTCCCAACTAACTGAGATTTAACGGAAGGATCAAAATTAAAACAAAATTAATAGTCAAGGGACTAATTTTGGTTAAACTAAAAGTCGAGGACAAATATTAGTAAAAGCCAATAGTCGAAGGACCATTCCTAGAATTAACTCTTCTTTTGACAATGCTATTTAGGCAAAGCAAGATGAAGAACAACAATAATAATACTACTAATACTATTGCTAAGGGTGTATAATAACTTTGAACATTCGTGTGCATAACTTTAAATCTTTATGGTGCATAACTTTAAATCTTGAGGTGCATAACTTTAAACTTTCATTACGTGCATAACCTTGAATCTTGATGTGCATAACTTTAAACATTGAGATGCATAACTTTGAACCTTCAGGTGTATAACTTTAAACTTTCAGGTGTATTTCTTTAAATCTTCAGGTACATAACTTTGAACATTCAGATGCATAAATTTAAAACTTAAGGTGCATAACTTTGCACCTTTGGGTGCACAACTTTGAAACTTAAAGTGCATAGTTTAATTTTGAAGTTAATTTGCATGACTTTGTTGCGTATGTATGATAATCTTGTTATTATCTATTCAAATTAACTTTGTTTGATGATACATTTGCTTTAGATATGCATGGACTTCACTTTTGAATGGGTATGCGTAGCTTACTACACTAAACTTTGAGTGAGTACAAATTACGACAATTATATTCACTGCCTTTAGTTTTTCTGTTTTCGATCATCATCTCTTCCAAAAATAGGTCTTTTCCTTTTAAAGTTTTCTCACATTTTTGGCTAATAAAGATTAAAGAATGACAAATTAAACATATACGACTTAAATCTCATTCTTCCAAAAGGCTAAATCCCAACCCTAAGGGCCCCCACACTCCGACCCGACAGAGCATTTGGACAACGACTTAAATCTCATGTTATTCCACTTGGGAGCTCCTTCGCACTTAATCTCTCTCTCATATATATATATATATATATATATATATATATATATATATATATATATATAGGGTCTCGTTTTTATGAGAACGTGCGATCATGCATCATCACATGCGTACCTAATGGTGCAATTCGCATGGCCTCCCAGGAGGAACATGGAGCGGATTTGAACCTATAATTCTCTTTCTTGTTCACTGCACCTTCCACCTATGTATTTGGTGTGCCACTTAGCTTCCACAAAACTATTGAAGGGTAGTTTTGTAATGGAAGACTACCCCAAGATGGCATGAAATTTTATTATTATTATTATTATTATTATTATTATTATTATTATTATTATTATTTTATTTCTTTTTGCATTATTATTATTATTATTATTATTATTATTATTATTATTATTATTATTATTATTATTATTATTACTATTATTATTATTATTATTATTATTATTATAAATTACGAATAGTATAGATTCAATTGCCAGAAAGAGTTGTGATGATCAACATGTGTTCTCCACAAATTCCTTGTGTGTAGTTGGTGTGCCACTTCTCCCTCGTTAGCTTTCAACACTTGTTTTGCTCTAGCTATCTAAAATGGTTTTTTTTTTTTTTTTTTTTTTTTTTTTTTTTTTGAAACTGAAGGGTACTTTCATAATAAGAAATGATATGTCATGCAAACTATTTAAAAAAAAAATAAAATTATGAGTAAGTTTGATTATTAGAAAGAATGGTGATTAACGTTTATTCTCTGAAAAAAAAGAAGAAGAAGGTTCAATCATATTGCCAGAAAGAGTGGTAATCAACACGTGTTCTCTGCACATTCTTCATGTATGGTTAGTATGCCACTTCTTCCTGGATCATTATCTTTCAACATCTATTTTGCTAACTACCCATCCATATATGTGGTTCGCAGCTCTAAAACGGTTATGGCTATTTTGTCATGCTGCATCAATTTGATTGGGCCAAGTTCAAGTCAAGCTCAACTAACCAAAACCCAAAATTTATTATTGAGTTAACTCCATTTTTTATTCTAGATTTATACGTGACAGTTCATTTTTAGTCTTTCTTTTTAAAAAATAAAAGTATTCTCTTTTGGTCATAGTATTACTGTGACATGGTCATTTTTTGTCTTTCATCAACAAAATCGTTAAATACAAGAGAATTGATTTTGTTGATAGAGGACAAAAAATGATCATGCAACAATAAGGATGTTCTAAATTAAATTTAGGACAAAAATAGAATTATTAATTCTTTATTGTTGGACATCATGATTCTTTTACTTTATGAATCATATCTTATGTTATAAGTGTTGGAAAATGGTGAATAAATCGATACAAAAAATATATATATAATATATATTTGTCCCGAAAAATGGAATTTAATTTATAGAAAATTAATTCCAACCAATTTTGGTACGAAACCAAAATTACATATATATACAACGTATATATATTAACCAAATAGGGATTTATTTTATAAAATAATCCCACCACAACTAGTACGAAAT